AAGGTCTTGTGAGTCTGCAGACCACAATAGCCTTTAGTACCACCTACAGAAAGATCGAGTTGATTAGTACAGCTGTAAGAATGGAGTTATTCATATATATTTAAAATGGGATACTGTGATACGAGTGACAATAGAGACACTTTATTTCCTAAGAGATATTACAAAATAATGTTTTTCCACGTTTCATATACGCGGCTGTCAGTCCCTGGCAGATGTTAAATGATCATATTTATTAATTGATAAGTGTTTACGGACAAGTCAACTGCTACAGTCATTATTACCGTACATGTAATGCATGTTTGTATAAAGACAGGAGGAAAGAATCTTTCGCCACTAAAGGGTGAGATCCGGTACCGACCCTCACATCGACTTGCGAGATTTTCCACAACCATACATTTTCTCCCCAAGCGGGACGCTGCTCCAGTCTTTACAAGCTGCAATCTCCCGACAAGAAATGCGTGCTACTAAGACAAGAAAAATGAAGGAAAGGTCGTGCGCGGTCCTTGGCGCGGCATTAGGACATTACTCCGGCATTTACCTAGAGAGACCACCGCTTAGAGCAGCCGACCAGTGGAATTCTCTTCCACACATCGGTTGAATTCTAGAATCATGTGACTATGCAAATTCGAACCCTAGTATCTCCCGTTCAGAGGCACTGCAAATGCATCAGTTGATACTCTCAGCCACCTCAGCCAGTATGAGGTGCTAAGAATCACCATTGAACCTAAAATATGTGCTTGGAAAATATGAAACAAATTTAACATTAGAAATCGTAACACTATTTAAGGAATGTACACGTAGGCTTCCGCCCGGACACTCTAGAAGTCATGACTATTTAAGGAAGTTTCTTCTCTAGTCTATATGACGCTTATGTGTCGATTAAAAAATGTATTGCATGCCTAGAAACTTTTTAAGAACGTTTAAGATTTTAGTTCATTTTAGATCTACTATTGTGTCCTCATCTTAGTTCATAGTTTAGGTGTTTGCTAACCCAACAATCTCATTTTATTTGCAGAAATTTTAAAAGAGAAATAAAAATATTTCCGCGATCACAGGTGCATTGATAGGATTGGGATATGTTCCAGTCTTATTTTCCGTGAAATTAAGCTGGATTTCAACTTTCACGTTCTTTAGGGAGATTATGAAAATCCCTAATTTAGCAGAAATTAAAAAAAGTAAATATTGGAAAAGATGAAGTGAAATAGTTTTGATAACACCTACTTGTTAAAGAAGCATGTATAGTATGTAAAATTGTTTCCGTGATTTAAATTTATCTTCACTATTAGATTACAATAAAACTTCAACAATATAAAATTACTTTACGAAATATTGGCAAGTAAAAATTGTGATATAATGGCATATTATGTTTATACTATGTATTTCAGGTAACGACGTGACTCATCTCGCTAGATGAGAAGCACTGAATTTGTAGCATCTCGTGCTAACTTCTTCCTCATTTCAGCGATAATGTAATCTATTTGACGGTTCTTCGATGCGGCGAATTTTCACCAACAACAAAGGAGATCAGCAAGATGTCTCAAAAATGTACTGAAAGGAGAAACTGTGCGAACTTCGTGGATTTTTGGAGAAAACCTTATTTACGTAGAACTGGAATGTTGTGGACCTAACGAAATTCCGAGCTTGGCCTAAAGTAAATCTCAATGAAACAAGAAAGTATTCCGTGAAATTAATTTCATCTATTGTCCTATTGTGACTCTTCTTGCAAGTCATTAATTCTTTAATCTCATTTCCAATATATTTAAATTCCCAATAGTGAGACAATCTTCGTAAAGTCCATGAAGAAAATAGATTTTGTATTTTATTATACTTAGATTTTATAAAAATTGATTATGAAATATGATATAATTTGAAAACGTCTTGATGATATGATACACACTTAAGAAAAAACAAATTCCACATAATGAATTAATATGGAAGAATTCGTACATGCTGCTTTGTACTATTGCTTTTTTAATACATTAATTATCGAAAACTCAATTTAATAGTTTTGTAAGTAACTACTTTAATGATATTTCTATTTTTGTTATTTTGTGACTATAAGGGAATGATGCAAAATACACAGTTTTACGATTTTTTGTGAAAGTTCGAATAATGAAATGTGTCTGTATTCAAATGTTGTTTCCCTTGAATTCTGCCATTCTTGTAAAAATGATTTAATCAAATATGAAATTAGCTTGCGCGAGGCAATACGCCAGACTTTCATCAACAAATATGTTTAATTTTTTTCGCGTGAAGACCCGCACTGGAGGAAATTATTGCCTGCCCGGAATTGGAGGTTTGGAGAGCTTTCCCGGAATTTAGCCTCTTTCCTGCACATAATCTCGGAGCACTGTGATTCGTGCGAGCTCTCAGGACCATCTACAGTAGCGCTCAGACGTCTCTCTGGGGGAATCAATAACATGAAGTGCGTCCCGCTTCCCCACAAAAGAGAGATGTGAACTTCATCCTTACTTTAATTTCATATCGTTTGCCTTAGTTCTTTTGATCGTAAATTTTAATTTTCCTCTTCGTTTTAGACAAATCAAATCACATCTGTTCCGCGGGAGAACTCATAGCAAACTGAGTGGATTGTGCAAAATGGAAACACCTCGTCGGATGAAATATTGTGGGTTGATTTTTATGTGTTCAGTGTCACACAATCTACCCCCGACATCCCTAGAAGGATGAAAAACATTGTTTTTACCTTATTCTTGCACAAGTATTCCTAATGAAAACATGTTAAAATCAATTCTATTTGTTCACTTTCTTCGTTAGACCACGCTTAGACCACGCTTTGAAGCCAATCTGGTTTGATGAAAGCTACACGTATCGAAAGAAGTGTTCGTTCAAAAAAAACTGCAGGAACTAAATAATGTATATTTAAATTAGATTTTAGATGCTAAATATTTATTATTTCAAGTTCAATATTGTAATAATTAGTCAGACATTATGTAATTTCATGTCTTAACGAATATATTTTATATTGCTTCTACCAAAATGTGTTTTGTTTTCTGAACAGATTTCGACGCAATTCAGACTTTAATTTGTCAGCTTCACTACCAAATTGTTTTTTTCTGCACTTAGAAAAAATCTCCTTTCTAAGCGAAGTTTTAGAATGAAAATATGTTACCAGTGTAGCTTCTGACATGTAGCGAGGTGTTTGTAGTGTAGTGAGTGGTGAGGTGTTTCATAGACTTGAAATATTGAAAATTGTAAATACAAATGTTCAACTTTACTTTTGACGTTTGCACGAAATAAAAGGAATTTTTAAAACAAGATATTTTTCAAAAATATATTGTTTTCTTTATTATTTTCTCGAGAAGGACAAAGCACGCTTCTGAAACGGAGCAGGTTCCATTTTCGGCAACTCTTTGTATTTTTGAAAACTGTAAAAGTTTAAAGTTTCTGAAGCGTCTTCTACACAACTATAATATTGTGATTATATCTTAATGATATCTGATCTTTGAAATAAGATCATGATATAACATGAATAAAAATCTCAGACATTTTTGAAAACTGCAAGTACAAATGTTTGCGCAAATGCAATTACAAGTGTTTACAAACTTTGTTTTTAAATCTTCGGGAAGGTTGTTTCTACCCGAGCGGCTGGTTGAGTAGAGGTAACATGAATGACATAATAAATCTAAGAACCCGAGTTTGAATTTCAATGTAGAAAAGAAATTTTGCTGTTTGGAAACTGTTTTGCAGGTTAATTTAGTATTATAATATTGCATAGTCATTACAAATAATGCAAGAAAATATCTGCCTTTGTAGCATAACTCGTTTACTTAATGACTTGCATTTAATCGCCAACTGTCTATACCATAATGTTTCAACATTCATGAGGATGATTCAGATAAAATATTATATACAAGCTTTGGAAAAGGCTGATTTCCTATTCCAGGAAATTAACGCTAGTGCCACGCTCTCAGTCGCAAGGCAATTCGCTATGGGAATTCACTCACACTTACAAATAAACCTATAAATGATAAGTATTATATCAGAGAATGATAATTAAAATATGCATGATTTTCAATTAACAATAAAAAGTGGAATTAGCTTCAGATAATTAATTTTGAACTGATAAATTTACCTTTACGTTTCAGTTTTAGACTACTTTCACATTTTTTTCTTCAAAGACTGAGAAATAACCTTTTTTATTTTAAAACAAATCTTATATTTTTCATTACACGTTAGTTACAGAACATTGACCAAAGGCGCTTTCAATATTAAATTTAGAAGTTGTTGATCAATGTGGTCATGATATACATGATGCGTTAGTGAGTCGCATTGGAAATTTTTCATACTCTTACGTTTTTTCATATTTCTATAAATTTTGCATTAAAGACTACAAAGCTATCCTTACCGTTCAAAAAAATTACCATGTTACTGAATACGGTCCATGTTTTGTAGAAAATCATATTTTGTAGATAAAAGAAAAGTAATATCTGTATTCTTTATTATTAAAATTTACTAAAAGTGGTATCAGGAAGTAAAGAAACCTGTAAACAGAGTGAATTGCCTCAATCTGAACCCCAAAAGCTGATCCTATATTGAAGAACTATGCTGGAAAATGTCTGAATGAGGTTCAAAGAACATTGACACCTGCTACGATGTTTGATCAAAACTGTTTGACAAACTACTTATTGTAACACTAATAATAAAAGAAGTCTGGTTTTATACAATGGATAAGAGTGTACATAAACGTTATAATAGTGTAACGTTTCTTTCACGTGAATGAATATGTTACTTTACTCTTGCATTTTAAAAATGTAAATAATGTGAAAATATAAATTTCATGACATAAGGTAACTTAAATATGAACTCGCATCAAAAGTCTTTTGTTAAAAAATAATAAGCCCTCTCAAACATGTTCCATTTTCTTTAATTTATACAACATAATAAGGTTTAAAAAAATTCATAAAATTAATTTTATGTTATCATCTTACTTTGCTCTTCCATCCGCAGGAAACAATTTCTTAGAGGTATCTAAGGAATTTGGAACATCATGTCCCGAGAGGTAGGGTTACGTTAACGGAGAGGAGAGAGAACGCGTGAGCAAAAAGCCCTCAGCTTGTCTTCCTGGCGAGACACCTGAGCCCAGTCTTGTAGGCGTCCCCAATCGGCTCTTCGATCGACCAGGTCGCCCTCACCTACAGCGTTCCTCCAGAATCTTCGCGTGTATTTTTGGAGCGCCGTCTATTACATCGTCGCCGACTGCCACTTTCAGAAGGACGGGCCACACTAGGATGAACCCGGAATCCTAATGACCAAATTTAAATTAAAAAATTGTAAACAATGATTATTAATATAATGTATACATAAATCTATCATCTCACGTAGGGATGAATAATGTATCTTGATAACCAAATTGATATACGCATTCGTTTTGTTGCGATTAAGAGATTAAACATTATAACAACCAAAATATCAATATTAAAATAAATAGCAATATTTTACGAGCTTCTCTCATGAAACGAGACACAGCAACACAAAAAAATTTTAAATAAATCTATTGAAATTAAATTAAAAAGAAGGTTGTGCATAAAAAGTGAAATAAACATGTTATTTTCTAGTAGATTGATTAAAAATTGTAAAAACGTAAGTAGCGATTTCATGTCTTTATGTTAACATATTACGTCAAAAAGTACAATAGTATTGTCTTCAACAATTAAATTAAAAGTTATTGTTTAATTTCTATCTTTTAAACAACAATGAAATAGTTTGACCATTCTTTCACAGTGCAAAATATTAAAATAAGAAATTTTTGAAATGTTTATTTGTACGCTAAAGTCAGGTTCGAAACTCAGCAATATTCAACAAAATATCTGTTCGAAGAGTATTTACGTTACATAGTATATGCTATTACATGAAATAATTTTAAGAGCAGATTTACAAGACATTTTTATTCGACTCAAATATTAGCTCTTTGTAGGTTTCCACACTTCTAAGCACAATTTTTCTATCTTTAGAAAAAAATTAAGAAATCACAAAAAGTTTTGCTTTCTTCTTTGTTCACATAGTATTAGTGCTCATACCAATGTATAGCGCTTTCAGGATTGATAGCTGCTTCGCGATAATTAGTTGAGACACGTACCTCGGAGGGGATACAGGGGATGAGTGTAAAAGATAATGATAAAAAAGGAAAGGAGAGCAGCATCTTTGGCATACCACATCCTTTCGTTTATTATTAGCTGTCTCAGACGTATGTGTGAAACTAGGTGCTCAACGGCACATACTTTCTCGCATTAATCATAACGTTTTCAATTTTGGAAAATACTGGGCGTGAAACGAAAATTAGACTTGCACCAGTTACGCTCGGAGGAAGTTTAAAATAAAGATGAAACTCACCTGCTCAGGTACCTGAGATAGAATTGGTGCGTAAGTAGAAGATGACACGAGGGTGTTAAATGTTTGCTCGTTGAGTTACATCGTTTTTATGTAACCAGTTGGTATGTAGTGTACGACGACAATTTGAATCCGCGGAGTTCTTCATGGACAACGCGCGCACTGGGGCCGCTAGTGGCGGTGGCACGGCCGAGACACGCACCTTCGGGCCCCTGGCGAGGAGAGGCTGTCCATGCCAGCGCTGCGCCCGCTATATAATAAGACAGCCAGCGCCGGGAGGGCGGCTCCGGCAGCTCAGTCGAGTACCGTTAACGCAGGTCTAGGCAGCGGAGAGTACGGTTTTCTACGCCTTGCGAGAGAGGAGAGACGGAGCCCAGCTAGGAGGAGCGAGTCGTCGGTGAGGAGGGCTGCGAGATCGCCCGGCGAGAAGCGACGCGAGCCCATCGGAAGCTGCGGGAGCGCTCGAAGGCGACGACGTCGTGGGAGTGCGGGAGTCACTCTCCCACGCCGGAGACGACCCTTGCAACTGGGGCCGCGGCCCTTGCAACGACAGCCGGATGTGACGGCCGAGCAAGGAATTGCTGTAACTCGGGGCTTCCGCTCTACACGGCCGGAGGTGACGGCCGCGCGTGACAAGAGACGCGTCACGCCGATGAGAAGTTGAGCATTGTTTTGGGAAAGGCATTAGGTTGTGTAAAGACTTTTAAGAAAATGTAACAAAGTTAGACTGAATAAAGCAACAATAAGTCGATTTTTAACTTTCATTGACTGAACATAACAGTATCAAGTTATTACTTCCACGTCTCTTCTCTATTGTTTCCATATATTTTTCATGAGAATATCGGGACAACACTATAAAACCAATCGTAAGCAGAACGTGATCCTTGAGAAACAAGTAGGAAAACGTTTTTGAAAGAGAACAATTTTTCAGCATGAACATTTCTCAAAAATATGTATGTCTTGAAAATCTCGGCACTGATTCATATGACGAAACCCGAAATGACATTTTCATAAATATTGCATAATGCAGGAGATAAATGAAGCTCTTTTCTGATAGCTATGTTAATATTGATTTTGTGAAGGGTTAGGATCCATATTTTTTGACAGACAAGTTCTTGTATCCTTAATTTGTTCTATAATCGTGCAGCAGTTTGGAGGATTGTGTCCCCGATCATTTTGTTAAACTGATATTTAGAGACCGAAAAAATAAACGTATGTAACATCAAAATATGTACATAAATGTGTAACGAAAACGGTAAGAATATGTAATAAATATGAAAAATACGATATAATATGTAACATTAATATATTAATTATAAAACACATTTACATACTATAAAAATATTTATCAACATTATAATACAAACTAACTTTATAAAAAAATCCCTAAACAAATTTCAAAAAGAATACAAACGTTTACAAAGACATTTGAAGAGCATACGTTGATGTACACTTTGCCAAGAACAACTTTCCCGTCGGTAATAAAAGCTTCGTCTATTGCTATCTAGAACCTCAGTTTTGCATCCAGACTAGATGCAATAGAGGACATCGTCCAAACTGGCGATTTCTACGACCAGCAAACAATCACTGCAACGTGTAGCACTCTCTTCGAAGTGTTAAACGTTGGCGAACACCAAAGTTTCTGAGAAATTAAGGTTAAAGGTCGCGAAACGCGGCACCAGGGGTACTTTTCACACCTAAAGGTGAAAATGATACCAGTTGCTGACGCGCACTTACTGTTACTGAGATAACTGAAGTTCACGGGCCGGACTGAGAGTACATCACACGTCTTCACGTAGAGTACTTGAAGTAGATAGTACGCAATAATAATGTAGGAAAAAATATTTTTAATACCTCTTTTCATAAAAATTATGTAATTAAGTTGATAGAATAAAAAAAATATTTTGTGAAAACACAACATATGTAATGTAGTACTATGTAAGTAAAAATATGTAACGGAAACATTGGACATTGTGTTAGGACGGCGACGATTCACCGAGATTACACATTTGAGAACGCTTAGTAGAGAGAAAAAATATGCAATCATATAAATATTCTGTCTCTATATCTTTGTAGCGGTTTCCCCCCCAAAAAACTGAGATATCATTGGGATTACATTTTGTGTATCACGTTTGTTAATTATTTTGAACGTTTGATTTTGGCATCCATGTAGAACAGCGTTCACTTTTTCATAGGTACTTCAATGGTCAGTTTTTAACTTCCTTGTTTCTCTCAAACGATCTCACATTTCTTCTTGTATTCTACATAATTTTGACTTCATTTAGTGATACGATGTTTCAAATACGCATCTTTCTTGCTTTGAATATATTTGGCAATATATTATATTCTGAAATCTTAAGTTTATTGTTTTCATTTATTTCAAAAAAATCCAATATTTGACTTTTCCGTGAGAAAATTTGCACACGTTTTCTTTAGCTCCAAAATGTCTACCTCACCCCCTTTACTAGGCATAGTTGAATGATGAATGAAAGTACCAAAAAGCATGGTCTGGACCATTTTCAAGCTATAAATTTTTACTTTCGAACCTTCTATAAGACCGATCACACACAACCAAACACTATTTTAATAGGTGAAGCGTATTCGTCAGTTGTTTAATGTTTTCATTGTTTCCAGTTCAGTATATGCAAACCCTTTCATTTTTTTACAGAATCGTGACCAAGAACCATTTCGTACCACATTGACAGCTAAAATTGACTCTTTCGTCGTTCATTTGTCAGTTTGCACCACCCTACCTGAGAGAGAGCTCACGTCAGCAGGTGGTGGACGCGAAAACATCACATGTTATACGCATTGGACCGGTCGGTCAAACGTAACTGCTCAGAGTAGCTGTGCGTTCCTGACATTTCCGAGAAGAAGAACGCTCCATACATGACGACTACTCTGCCGACCCTAAAGCGCTTAGAAAGGACTCCTACCGCACGCATAATGTACTCCAGCCTGTCGATAGTGCATTCCTTTTAACAGCAATTCGGAAGCAGCTCTGTAAACTGCGGCGATCTGCGCCCAACGATTCTCCGTAACGGACGCGCTGCCGTGCCTGCACGGGCGGCTAACTTCACGACCACTGCTTCACGATTCAACAAAGATGGCTTATCGTTATCAACGCAATGCAGTGATAAATAGCAAATCCGGATTGTGCTCGAACAGTGTTTAAGGGCGAGTTTCGTGCATTTGACGTAGATAAAATGTGCGTAGCAGATTTGTAGTCTGTGTGTACAAAGTAACAAAACTAGCTTTACCACGTTTCATTACTTGTACCTCAGGAATTACTGGTTGCTTTGCTACTTTTATAAATTGCTAATATGCCTCGCATCTTTATTCGTTTCGCAGTTATTGCTCTCCCACACTTATATTGCGAAGAATGTAACATCATGTTTGCTTATAAGGGTCGTTTTATTTTTCCTAATACTTTTTGAGTAGCAGTGTATACAGTTATTCTTTGTGATATTTTTGCTTACTTCTATTTCTCTGGTGTATTGGTTTAATTACCTGGGGAGGAAAATTTTTACATCTTTTAACATAATTATCTGCTATGATTCTTTAATTGGGAGAAGCTTTCATATTTTTGACAACATTCATGTTTAAATGTGATAAACCGTATTTAATAAAATGAAAAAAGGAAGGCTGTGTTCTACGAATCTTTCCTTTTCCTTTTGACTTTCTTTTCTTCTGCTTATACAATGCACTGAATTCCACGTGTCTCTTAACAAAACATCTTTTCTGGGAAAAGAGAAAATGCTATATAAGCACACAATTCTTAGAAAAAATAATTTCTGCGGATGTGGAATTTAAACCAATGCTCATACATGAAAGTAGAATTGGCCACAAAAATCTGTTAGCTAAATTTGTCATTCGACTTAACAAGGAGGCGCGGGATACATCTTAACTTTCAAACCATTCGTACTTATATCGCAGAGCCTTTCAAAACATTGTTTCACAATCAAAGGAATTTTCAATCACTGACACCATTTTAGATTTAGATAAGCAGTGAAATAGACGCTTTCATGTAATCGGGACTATTTGCACAACAGTTTTGTGGATTTCAAAAAGGCTTTTGACAAAATAAGGAAGGTTTATGACAAAAACTAAGTGAATTAGTCACCTCAGATTAATTTTTAAATGTGTTGTAGAACGTGTAAGTAAATGTTAAGTTTTGTGTCAATGTGACGACGGAAGTACAACACAAAAAAATAAAATCGACAGAGTAAAACAGGGGTTCCTTCTTTCCAGCAATTTTTTATTTTTCTAACAAAGGATTGAATGACACATGTGGTGGAAATTAATGGTGTGGAAATTCCATGAATACTGTATGCAGATGATGTAGATCTATGTGTCCAGAATTCAATGTTAAGAATAATTGTGGGGGGATATTTTTGCATGGCATTTGCTCGGACTAGCCATTTAATGATAGGTAATATAATATAGTTCGGTAATAATGACCTATTATATAAAAATAATGTTTCACAACACTTTTGTTTCTTTCTCGTCCTCACTTCGTAAGAAGAAAGAAGTATTGTAATGGTGATCTGGAAAACAGTGAAGTTTCGGCAGAAAAACTCTTCTTGCCATAACCTTGTAACCAAAAAGCGGATAAATACAGTAAATTACTTCCTTTAACATGCCGAGTAGTCAGAATCCAAGCTTTTTAGGTCCTTGATACCGAAATTTTGGTTATCGGCAAAACAACTGTCTGTCCATCCGTCTGTGCTAAACACAAGCGCCTAAACCGTCCAGTCGATTTTCACCAGAATTGATATTTCCCCAATCAAATTAAACAAACTAGATGCTCTCGTAGTTTGAAAAGGATATTATGATTTCTTTATTATTTATATCAAACCTCAACATTTTAAAAAAGGCTCCAATTTTTTTTATTTAACTTTGTCCTCGAACAGCATAAAGAACGCTTAAGAGAATTATGCAGGTCTCATTTTCGTTCAAATCCCTGATTTTTTTCGAAAATTGCAATCTTCCTTCAATTACAAAATTGAAGATAAAGATTTTTTAAAGAGAATGTTCTATAAGAAGTTCTATTGAAATAAAATTATGTACAATTTTTTTAAATATGTGAGTAGTTCTCCCATACTTTTGCGTGAAATGTAAGCAATTTTAATTTTTTCTCCTCGTATGTAATGACCCGCTTCTGTCATCACGGCTAGGTAGGCATACGACTAGGTGGGCATACGACGTGTGCCCGCTAACGCAATGGATTTCAGGCGTCACGCAATGAATATTTATTTATGTGCGCCAAGCGTATACGAACCTGCAATCCGGCTCCGGCGATGAGAATCTTAGAAGTGAGTTGCTCTAAGTCGAATGCAAATCTTTACGTTGCTACTTGAAATCGTAAGCTTGTGGATCTTTTTTAAGTGTTGCCCGTCAAAGCAGCGGTAACACATTTCTCTCTCTCTCTCTCTCTCTCTATAATATTATATGTATACTGAGTATATATATAGTTCATATACTTATTTTGTGACGATTTAACCTGGAACACGGTACTTTCACGACTGAAATAAATTAGCAAGGGACAGGTACGATTTGTGATGAGGTCTCCAGATTTTGGCGGCAGCAATGTGAATATTAAGTGTTTATAAATTCGTTTGCACATCTAAATATTTTAATGATCAAGAAACACACTTACAAAAAGTGTTTACAAATCGCAATGCGCAGCGCCTTGGAAAAAGCGCACGCGTCAACGCTACCTCGATGTTTTAAAAAACACCTGCTTCCTCTGGAGGCGACCGGCGGCCGTCGTGACAACGAAGCGGCGGTGGCGTGGGCGGCAAGCTTCGGTTCAGCGCCCTAAGAATGCCCCGGGAATTCGCCCTCCTCTCGGTGACAACTCCTCTGGCCCAACGTAACGGCGATGAATTCACCGGGGTCCACCCAGCCGGTGTGAACAATGTCTCACGGGTACTGGAAAGGCACGACGCGTGATTTGATGTTCGTCGTCTGTTCTAGTCTTTTCAGCAACCTTTCTTAACTTCGCGCGAATGTCCGTAAGCACTGCCCACTGTTAGTTATACCAGGGCGGGATTATAACACTAGCCACCGCCACACGATTTCCTCCTGTCTTTATGGTTTTCATCAGTTCTGGTACGCAAATTCTACTTCCCCTAATCATCTGACTGTTAATCTCTTATCAAACCTGGTTCCACTTCAGTGGCCACACTCAGTCCGACTGCACTTATATAACGACAATAAATCTCTTGACGCAACACTGTCCCGCCCGTGCTTCACACGAGCTCTCCGTGCACACTAACCGTCGGTCGCCTCGCCGTATCCCCCGATTTGACCGTCTAGTGGGCGACGGTGCCGGCGTTATCTGGCCGGGGCGATGGAGGCGGCGAGGAGTTGGGTATCTTTAAAATCTTAATGAATTGGTTGATCATTGTAATTGTTCTAATTACAGAAACGTAAAGAGTATATACAGAGAGAGAGAGGGAGGGATGGAGAGAGAGAGAGAGAGAGAGACAGAGATTTTACAAACGAGTTGTCACTAATTAAATTCCCTCTGTCTGGAAAGTCTATAGTTCCTCGATTATGAATCGGGTCTACAGTGATTGGTTTGGTGTTACCTCTCTTTGAAGAATTGCATGTTCGCAGGGCTGTAAAGGGCGCTGTCGGAGACGCTCAGTCCAGACAACGCCCCAATGGAAGTGTAGGTACGCGGTCGCTGGGAAGTAGACACGACCCCCGTTAATCAGGTGAAGGCGTCAGTGAGCGGCGCGCGACCTTCGTGGCGAGTGCCTTCTTTTGCAGCGTTGGCGATGTGCGAAGCCAGACGCCGGGCAAGGCCTTCAAATGTCACCTCCTTTCGTGAAGGCTCGTCAATGATTGCAAGCAGCGCACCTCTGCAGGTGCCTTTCGGTCCACAATGTGACTTGCACGCAAAACGAAATTTATTTTGATTAGAGTCGGCACATGATAAGATAGTTTAGACGGGCAGGTAAGGACTAGTATTCTGCCGAATAAGAGTTGAGTGGATATTACAGTCATTGAGTCCGTTGTTGGCGGAGCAAATTTTGACACAGTGCTACAGTGTAACAGAGTGTTGTTACCTTGGCGATCTAAGCTGCCTCCGCTAGTCACAAGTGTCTTTTCTGTTCCAACACCCGTGGCTTCCTCGTCATGTCCTTCCCCACCCTTGTGTGCCGTTGCTCGATCACGCATGTGATATCAGACGTGATATTGGATGTGCCCACGAATTCTAGAAGTTTCTATCACTAATTTTTCGAGGATTTGTCAGAGACGATCCCTTTCCAGGTGACCTATTTTTCGGGGGCTTTTAATTGGTCGTTATTGCACACTCACAACCGTCGAGTGGAAAACTCGAGGGATGTTAGCTGTCTGTTGTCACTGTGACCAAGTTATTGCAGGGCCTAAGGGATTAAGGAACTGGTAGCTACCGAATTCTCTTAATTTGGCTTGACCCTGTGCTAGAAATGTCATTATGGTGAACAAGAGGTGTAGGATGGGTGGCATTCTTCGGGTTTGAGAAGCAGCTCTCGGGGGACCCATGGAAATTTCCTTTGTGACCATTAGAGTAAGGTTGCTACTGAAAAGGAGGTTGACGATTTGACACTATATCGAATGCTCACATGTTTTATGGCTCCGACGAACGTCATACACTTGTGCCTAGCGAATTGCCATGAGGGGGTGCCAGCTCGTGATAAGCGTGACAACGCGATTATGTCGCGCGAGGACGACGTCGTGTGGAGCACGGTACATCCCAGTATCAAAGGACGGTAAAAAATATACGATAGTCTCATTTCCGGCAAACACTCTATTTTCGAAAGCTGCAAAAATTTAACATTTAAAAATTGCGCAATTACAGATAGACATTTTTGCCTCAAAACAAGTTAAAAAAGTATCCTTAAACGAAGGTCATGTTCTATTGTTTTGGAAAAACTTGTTGTTTTTGCGGTTTAAAATTAATGCAATAAGGAAAAGAAAATTTATTCAAAAATGCTTCAACATTTTCTGCAAATTCGTTACACGGATAGAACAAGGAACACTTAAAATAATGGTGCAGTAACCATTTTCGTCCAATACTGAATATCCAAAAACTGCTAATTTAGAAATAATGCGAGAAAATATTTGTAGTTTTAGCATAACTCTCAATGACATTCTTAATTTACCACACGTATGAAAAAAACAGGGCTGGTGAGAGACGCAAGATAGCTGAAAGATCTCAAAAGCGAAAATAGACTGTATTTGAAGTCCAATGTAGGGGCTCGGTCATATTAATTAAGAGGCCTATTGAAAACGCCGAAAGAACAGTCCTGAATTCACTGTATTCGTTACTTTCTTTAACATAATATTTATTGCGCTACAAGTTCTGATTTGATTGTATCTTACCATTTTATCATTATATTTTTTAATATATACGAGGTGTACGCAACTGCGTTGATGTCTAGTATAAGGTTGAATATGCGTCCTATCAGAGCGTAAAGTGTAATCGGCTGTCGGCTGTCGGCTGTGTAAAAGCCATAGAGAAAAGGGAAAAATAAATTAATATCATAAAAATAACAAAAATAAAGAACTAACACTACGCCCAATTCAAGATGAAAGCTTGCCTGTTATTCGACACGTAAGAATCAATGCTTCTCCACAGAGTTAAGTTATTATACGAGTGTTTGCAGAAAGGTTAAGAAAACACGTTCCTCTTCGCTAAATTTGTTATTCACAAATAAAGACAAGATATGGAGCCAGGGTTGGCGGAACGTACATCCCCTACACACGCACGCGCACAAATACACACACTCGCGCCAACACATACATACACAATTCGTCTAAACACACTATTCACGGAAACAAAAGAACAAAACCTAACAATAATCGAAATCGCCACTGTGTTGTAGAGGAACAGAAGAACATCATACAAACAACATTCATCATCCTGTAATGAATGGGAAGGACCGATCAAAACATCGGACTTCTAGAATTCTATCGACACGAAGGTGTCAAATAGCTACTCGGCTGTTGAAATTCCAACCCGCCAAATATCCGACATTAGACATCCAAATCCACAATGAAGACGTTTGAGTCCGTTGCTAGCAATATTTTTAATTATGGTACAGCACGATTTTTCCAGTGGACACTTCAAGGGTTGTTATTCTGAAGCCAGAAATTTCATCATGGTTGACTCCTGATAATGCGTTTATTTTGAGTTGCAATGACCGTTGATGTGATAATGTCAGAGATGAGCATACATATGCATATTGAAAAAGAAGCAGAGAAACTAGAAATATCGCGAGGATATCTGCCTCGAATTGGCTTTGTCCTACATAAATTCCTCTTGGATCGGACGAGGATCGAACATTCGCCCCAAATATGGAAGGCGTGCCGTTTTTTTACTGAGAAATAAAATGTCTCTCCCGCCGAAGGAGATAATACGCTTGTCCTGCACGACACAACTCGCATCCACCAGAGCTAACGTGGCCGGTAAACAACGAAGTTGATAGGGCATGCCGCAATCACAATTCATCCGAAATTTTTCTCTGAAACTTGGTGCAGCCGCGGCGTCGCCAAGGCAACACCCACGCCGTCTCGGCCGACCCTTTCTGCACGCGCCCTCGCGTCACCAGCCGCGTCATTGCGCACAGCCGCCACCTTTCCTCGTTTCGTTGCAGTAATCACCGGGAACGCCCTTTCCGCTTCGCTTCTCCCCACTCACTCCATTTCTCTGCGCTCCGTTTCGCTCCGTTCCACTTCTCTTCTCCCGCTCCGCTCTGCTTCGTTTATGCTCGCTCCGCTCCACTTCAACCAGCTTCGCTGCATTTCTCCCTTCTACGCTTTTCTTCGCTCCGATTCAGACCTAACCTCATTTCCTACTTCCCATCTTCCCACTTTCCTCTATACCTTTATATTCCCTGCTTCAGTGTCCCCCAGCTAGGTTCGGCCCGCCCCTCCCCACCAATCGTCCGGTTGCGCCAGGATTGATACCATCCCCCTCCGTTTCGCCCCCCATCGTCCCGCCCCGTCTCGACCCGGCCCGCTTCGTCCCAGTCCGCTTCCTCCCGCCCCGCTTCGTCCCGCCTCGCTTCGTTCCGCCTCGCTTCGTCCCGCCTCGCTTCGTGCCGACCCGTCACTTCCCGCCCGCCTTGTCCCGCCCTCCTCGTCCCTTCCCTCGTCATCTCGCTGCGCATCGTACCGCCTCCGCTTCGTCCCAGCTCATTTCGTACCGTCAGCGTTGCGCCTCAATACCGCCGCTCGCCTTCCTTCACTCTCCCCGCACCGCCCACACCGACCATCCACGCGCTCCCAGTGCTGCGTAGAGCGGAGTCGCAACGCCGCCCCGTCTCGGAGAAGACGAGTTGGCGAGGTTATGGCCGCCGTGGAGTGCCGTGTCTCCGAGAAAATTAATAAGGCGCCGTTACGAGCCAGCAAGTCACCTAGGAAGTTTGGATTGAGCTCTCTTGAAAGGGAACAGCACCGTCGCTGACGACAGGTGGGCGCGCCGCCTTGTCTCGGGAGGGACCCGACATTTCGTCCCCTTTCGCGCAGGCGAAGTCATGACGCACCAGTTGGTCCCAAGGGGGAGTCCATGAGAGGACTATTGAAACGCGAAGTAGCGCTTCTCAGAATACTCAAGCTAACTAATAAGTTCAATTAATAGTTCGTAAACAATTTTAGTTCCTGCTGGTATCATTACAATGTTTATTTAAAAGCATGCATAATAAGGTATTCAATTTGGATTGATCAATGTTGACAAAAGATGTTTGTAGAGAGAGACTAATGAACAGAGCTAAGATTTGACTCTGATATATTTTGGGGGGCGACGATTTCGCGCAGAGAGGCAATTTTGACAGAGCGTCACAATAAGTAAACACATTACATACGTCCCAACTAACTCTCTCATGGAGTTGTCGATTTCATTTGCTGCCGTCTCACCGATAGTCTTCGTTTGGGAAGATAGCCATCCCAGATGTAAAGTCACGAACACCTGTGACTATTCGTTTGCCATTTGTGGACGTCCGTGCCAAAAGAACAACGTGCCCTCGACCAAAAGGAAAACACGCGTTCTCTTGTTATGTGAGCTTGCTTGAAAGAGGTGACCACTCTGCCATAGCCAATTGCACAGCCAGATCTTTTACCAAATAAATATGTGGTATTTTATGGGGAGCTATCGATCCTCCACAACGTAAAATCAGGAGAAATCGCGAGTAGATTTTAAAGATTAATGACATTGGGTTGGACAAAATAACATTGAGCATCTGCATGTATTGCCGGGTTCCTGAGCATCTAATTAAGCTACTGACACCTCCCAAAATTCAGTGTCCGCTTTTTTTATGAGCAATGAAAATAAGTAATATATAGAAGTCATAAATGTACATCAAGAGGTCGGAGAGACCTAGAGTCATACCCCTGCATATATTAAAAAGGGACCACATTTGTTAATTTGTATTTTTTGTGCCGGACATCCCTTGTTTGTGCCTGAGACACTTCTGTGTCAGACATGCTTTGGAAAGCCAGACATCGCTATCATTATTTCCTTATTTGCGGAAAGCCCAAATTCTGCCTCTGGCGTGTCATTAACTGATCAGAGCAGAAACCATAGACAATCATAGTATTTGTCATGAAATTGAATAATAACACGGAGTCATTCTCCGTAAGCAATTACCAAAGAATCACCATAAGCAGTACAAATATAACTCCATATTGTAATACTTAAAATTATTTCATAGGTGGAGATAAACCAAAATACTTACAAGTTTCGAAATGATTTTTCCATTTGAAGCTTGGAAATGTCCACTATACGTATTTCTAGAACATTAATTATTAACAGTTCTTTAGTTGCATGTTCTGAGTTTTTATAATACACGATGAATCATATCTTTGAATAGCATCTCATCAAAGCTCTCCCTCCTGTTAAATCTCTTTAAGATGAGGTCAACGGATCGATATGCCTAAAGGTCATTCATTCCATGAGCTCCTTCGTAGGTGGTCAGGAACAAAATATATTGCAGCGTGATACTACTCTTTGATTGAGGGAATGCCCGTAATAAGAATATAACACACAAAACTATAATTTTACAGTGGAGTTTAAAAATGTTTGGAGAATATATTTCATAAACTACATAAGTGAATCTGTGGATAATAGAGAAAATAGCTTTATTTAACAGCAATATACAGAATTTCATGATTGTTTATGCGAATGTCTGCATTAT